GATTTTTTCACAAAGACTTCTGTTTTTATATATTACAAAGATGTGAAGTTGTGGGTACAAAGTAGCCAATCACTTCACTTGTTAAAAATGACATCTAATTTGTTTTTAAGTTGGCGATTCCAAAATATCTTCTTCATTCACTGTTATGTTCACTGTTTATAGCTACACCTCAAAAGTGAACTTTGTGTTCTTTTGATTTGCAACATGTACATATTGGTTGTGGAAACAAATTTATTTTTTGAAGTGTATTTGAAAGTACTTGACCCTAATATTCAAGATATTCGTTGTGCAGGGTAAGGATAGAACAGCAGAGGAGAGGAGGATAGCAATATGTATTTTTGATGATCTTGTTGAGCATTGCCGTGAGGCGGCCCTCAGGTAATCATTTCGTCGTAACTTACACTCTGTGAGCATTTTATCTTAATTTTTCAAATGTGAATCAGGTATTATGATACCTACCTTCCTTTCTTGTTGGAGGCTTGCAATGATGAGAATCCTGATGTCCGTCAGGTTTGTTCTGCCTTCGAATGGTCGTAAGCATTGATTTTCTTATTACCTGACAAGCTTTATCTAATTCAGCCATTACTCTATTTACAGGCCGCTGTTTATGGTATCGGTGTCTGTGCCGAGTTTGGTGGATCTGTATTCAAACCACTCGTTCAAGGTTGGCTTCATTTGAGCCTCCTCCGTTTTTTGAGTTATCGAGTTCCCTTCATAAATTGTGTATGAATTTGTTGTCTTCTCTTTCTCTTTTTGCAGAGGCCCTTTCCAGGTTGGATGTTGTGATACGGCACCCTAATGCACAACATTCTGAAAACATCATGGCATATGACAATGCTGTTTCAGCTCTTGGAAAGATATGTCAGTTCCACAGAGATAGCATAAATGGATCTCAGGTTTGTGTCCGTCTTCAGCCAGCATCTCTTTCATAGTTTTTAAACTAAATTCATTCATATTCATTTCAAATGAACTCGTTCTTTCTTTTTGTTTAGCGTAAACGTTAAGATAAGATTTTATGATGGTGTTTTTTTGAGTTTATATTCATGCATTTCTGTGAAATATGCGAAACACCATAATCTGGAGTATCTGTTTAGGTTGTAACTCGAAAGAACACGTTTTTATTTACCCCAAACTCTGTGAAGCTATCCAATGAATCGATTTCTTGACCGAAATACCTCAAGCTTTGGATTTTCATTGTGTTCTTGTTTGTCATAAAACATGCCAAGTTCGAAACTCGTATTCTATTTATTGCATCAATGGATCCCGTTCTGAACTACATCGCTTTTACGGCATTTGTATAAGTAGTTTGTACACTTATTTCTGTGTCTTATTTGGCAGTTGGTTCCTGCATGGCTAGGCTGCTTGCCTATCAAGGGTGATTTAATTGAGGCAAAGATAGTGCACGATCAGCTCTGTTCAATGGTTGAAAGGTAGAAGTCTTGCTTCCACAAGACATTGTAGTATTCAATTTTATTCGCCTAATTCATTGCTGCTGATGTTTTCCTCCATTTAATTAACAGGTCCGATAAAGAACTCTTAGGTCCCAACAATCAATATCTTCCCAAAATCGTTTCCATTTTTGCTGAGGTATGTATATATGTATGCTATATCTTAAAATATGGTGAAAGCAATCGCCCGAGTACACGAATGTTTTGTATGCTTTGATTTCTCAATTCTTGGGATGCTGTTGATTTAGGTTCTATGCGCGGGTAAGGATCTTGCGACGGAGCAAACTGCGAGTAGAATGGTAAACCTTTTGAGGCAGCTTCAGCAAACTCTACCACCCTCCACGCTAGCATCGACCTGGTCGTCTTTGCAACCACAACAACAGCTTGCACTTCAGTCAATCCTCTCATCCTAGTGTAATTGGGATTGGCAAAGACAGGTCATTCTTTGTTCCAGATTGTGTCGAATCCTGAGTTGGTTGGTTACATACATCTCTTGAATTGGGTTGGCTGTGTGTGTTTTCTGGTATTTTTGGAAGCATTTTACCCCCCCAACAATGTCATCCCTTTTTGCATTGCTCAAGCACAGTGGTGGTCATCCCTTGAAGAAAGCTGCTGCTGCTCCTGCACTGGCGTCGAGTGTTTTTATCGTCCCGTCATTTATTTAATATTTATTTTTTGTGCGCTTGTTTAGAGCATCGATTTTGCACGGTCTGAAGGTCTGAAGGTTACGCTATAGAGTTGATATATAGTTTGTGTATAGTACGAAATTGTTGGTGAACCAGCTCCTACTCTTGAGGAAAAGAGTGAAGCAGCAAGCAAAAACAATGTCGAGTGGTTACTTATTATTGAGGCTTTGAAGTTTTGGAGAAGAGTGAGGTCGAAGCGTCGTGTCATTGAGATCCAAACATTTAAGAAATTATTCTTTGTTTGCCATAATATGTCTTGGTTTTTGTACCTAAATTTTTTATATCAATTGCTTATTAGGTTATTATAATGTGTCTCGTGGAGACTTGCCCGGAATAAGGGGTAGAATCTTTATTTAAACGTAAATCGGGGGAGAGTGTAGACCTGCCCACAATGGGGTATGGAATCCCAGTTTAAATGAAGAATGGTGAACAGGGACGGGGACTTGCCCATGAGAAAGGAAGGTACTGCTACACTGTGTAGCAGTACACTGGTAGGAACTAGATCACAAACGTATTAATCCTTCGTTTAGCTCGGAACGACCCACTTTGGTTCAACCTTCCCTATCTTAAGCCAAATGACGGCTAAGAACAAGATCAACGTCTGTCCAGAAGCACATTTTAGAACTTCATAATATTAAGCTGCATTAGAAGGATTGACTTATTTCTTTTTCGGGATCAATTTTGGCTACTTCATACTCATACTATGACTTTATCAATCTCTCACTTTTGATATCACATCAACTACTTAATATACGTGCACATTGGGACCCGCCTTGCTAGCCGAAGCTTCCAAAAATAGCTATTTAACAACTCCATTAATTATAAATAAATTTCAAATATTTATGTTAAATAAAGTGGAAGATAGGCATATTGTAACATCATGTAGTAAGGAGACAACAACCAAATCCTTTTTTTAATTACAAAAATTAATTTTTAAATTTTTTTTATTCCTTATTATTCAATTCTTTTATTTCTTTTCTCACTTAAAAAAAATAGGTAATTTATAAATTCATTCAATTATATTTAGTAATTATTATATCTATAGTCCTCGTCTAGAAAACTAATTTATAGTCTTAAGTTCAATCGGTTAACCGTTGACCGCTCTATCACTGAGCTACTGAGGAACAACAGTAAATTAGGTTTCAGAGGATTTAATTCTCGTTCTCAACCCACAACCAATATGAGCTCGAGGTTTCCTTCGAAACTCCTGGAACTTCTTCGTAGTGATTCCGTTCCATGCCTCATTTCATAGAGAACCTCAAAGTGACTCTATTTCATTACATTCCATCCATATCTCAATTCTGTTCATTTAATATTTTTGTGCTATCATTGAGATAAGAGATGTCGTTTCTAGTCTATATATTTATACTTCTATATTCGTTTGGCTCTATTTCTAGTCTAGCGGATCTGAAAAATTAATTGAATCAATACGATAAGAGATGTAGTACACTTGAAATGTAACTTTAACTAAAGTACAACACATTAGTCTTTTAACTAAACTATTCGATAAACGACCAATTCAAGCATAGTTCAGAAAATTGTTATATAAAAAATTAATAATTTGACTTCTTATCCCATCAATGTTAGTCTCGAAAAGAAATTTATAACAAATTGTCAAATTTGTAATTTCATAAATGTTGTGACATCGAGTAAAGAAGTAGTACATGAATGAATCGAGACCACATCCGAATGAGAAAAGTTTAAAAAGAAAATGAAAGTTACTACTTATACCAACAAACTGCACATTTCTTTTAGGTGGATCAATCATAAGAACTTCATAATTAAACGAACAATTCTAGCCACATTATTAATTTTTAATTTATTTTATTTTATTTCATAGAGATATTTTGAAATTTCATTCTTAGGCCTCCAAATGGCAGCATTTTGTGCATCCATGACTTTCTCTCTCTAATGCTTGACTTAGTTTCAGGTCAAGAGAGAGAAACTGTGTAATTACTTTTTTACCCTTGTATTATTATTCTTGGTCAATGTTTGACTCTCCAATATGGCTGGACCATAAAAGTCATTTGGTGTTTACATCACTTTTGAAATTATTTTGTAGAATAATATGAATTGTTTACTAAAATTCTTAAATTTACTATCCATTTGTAGTATTAATTGAGAGTTGCCCCGAGATAAATCATTCTACACGTAAATAGGGATTTCTCACCTATTCAAGGCGAATCTTAAATGGACATCTCTAGTGGCACAATCACATTTTTGCGGACGAGATAGCAATTATGTGACACTCGTTCTAACTCAGCGAACAAGTCAGCTGTGTGAAATTCGAGTTTCGCGGATAATATCGGCATATGTTCGAGCCTCGAGTCACGTTTGAGAAAAAATATTTCGAAAAACATGAACGAGAAAATACGTTGAAAATAATTTTAAAGAAATCACTGTTGTAAGCTAAAAACGAGTAGGCAACAACAACAACAACTTTGATAGCATGTAACTCGAGTAGAAATAATTGACAACTAATCACATCTCCTTGTTTGTCTTACAAATGGATGTGAGGTCACAACCTACTTTTCTCGGTAAGGTTGTGACACATTCCCCCACTTAATTCAGTCATCGTCTATGATTTTCTCAGGACACAATCGTATTGTCGATTGTGACATCTAGCACTGTTTATATTGTTATTAGTTAAATAACCATTTTTTATCGACTAAATTAGTGATTTTACATCAATATAATTTATATTTTGAACATGGTCAATGGTCAATGATTACCTCTTCAAAAAAAAAAAAAAAAACATCTTTTTAAAATTCAAAGTCTAATTTTGAATTCCAAAAATAAAAAAAATTAAAAGTCAAATCTTTTAATCTCCATTTCACATAAATCCCAATTTCCCAATTTCCATCAAACAAATATTCTTCTTCTTACAATGGAAATTAACTTCCAGTCGCCGGAGACCCACGGCGGAGCCGCTGTACCAGTGGTCAAAACAAGCAAATTCAAAGGCAAAACCAGAGGAAACAACGGCAACAAGTTCGTCGGAGTCCGGCAGCGGCCGTCGGGCAGATGGGTGGCGGAAATCAAAGACACGACAAAGAAAATCCGAATGTGGTTAGGAACATTCGAGACCGCCGAGGAAGCCGCTCGTGCCTACGATGAAGCCGCCTGTCTTCTCCGAGGTTCGAACACAAGAACTAATTTCTTCATCCCACAAATCCCCACTAATTCCCCAATCGCCTCTCGAATCCGCACCCTTTTAAACAGCAAAAAGCCCCTGGGAAATTCCTCCGCCGCCGCCTCCGCCGCCGTCCCTGCTCCAACAATTCAGGACGGTCGGATGATCGACGGAGATTATAAACCAGACATGACGAATTGTTCGGAGAAAACAGAGATGGGTTCGTGTTGTTCTTCGGATTCTTGTCGATTTGTTGATGGGTTTTGGAATTCAGAGGATTTGGAGCTTTGTGATTTTGAGAGGATGAAAGTTGAGAGGCAAATTTCAGGTTGTTTGTATGCTATGAATGGAGTTCATGAGTATATGGAGGCTGTTCATGAGGCCTCTGAATCCATTTGGGATCTTCCTCCGCTCTGATCGTTGTTCGGTTAATTTGTAGAACAATTCGAAAGGGTATACACGAGCTAGGTTGGGTTGGATTAGGTGGGTGATCGAGCGATTTGAATAGAGTTTATGACCCGACCCACCTTCTATTTTCTGGAATGAGTTGAATTGGGTTGTCGAGTTTTTTTTTTATCCAATTTTGTATAGGGTTTACGAATATGATCTGGAGCAACCCATGTTAATGGAAGAATAAACGGGCTTGAGCTCTCTGTTAGTTGTATGTAACGTCTCATGTTTAGGATTCATATTTTCAATATCGCTTACGACATGATCATGTTACAAATGGATGCATCTCCCTAACTTCACCTCGTTTTGGTTAGGGCCTTGTTTTAATCCGTTGAAGGACCATAGAAGTTCGGGGGATGCAGGTCGAGATGGTGAGATAGCTTCTACACTTCGGTTTTGGAATGTTCTTGAGAAAATAGGCAAATTTTAGCAGTGGCATGTTTATCCGAGATTGTTGAACACTTGAAATTACAGATAGGTTGGGAAGTCTCTTAAATGGATTGCTTGCTTGTTGATTCTTATTCAACGAGTTGTTCCCTCTATTGTACGTAAATTAGAGATGTTTAACGGGTGGAGCGAGACAGGGTCTTTCCGTCTTCGCCTCATATTTCAATGCCAATTCTCGCACATTATTTTTCTCGAAATTGAGACGGGAATTTTCCACAAAAAGATTTGCAAATTATTTATATATAAAATTATATGTAAAAGAAATGGGGACAGGGCCGAGATGGGGATAAAGAATTGGAGCGGTGGAAAGTTGTTCACCTCACATGTATTTTTATTTGTAAAATTACCCTTTTGTTCTCTAGATTTTGTGATTTGGTTAGTCTTTCCGTTTTAAAATTAAACAACCAACCTAATGCTTACAAAAATATTCGATTTTATTTACTAGGAGTATACATTGAACTCAAGAACTCGAACCAACCTAACCTAAATTATAAGGGTTGAGTTAGGCCAGATAGAATGTCAGGTTGGGTTAGGTTGGTTTTTTAGAACCCAATCTGATCCGGTTTGGGTACGAGTACAATGCACAAAGGACCGGACCAACCCAACCTAACCCGATTACATAAAAAAAAAAGGAAGAAGATACCAAGTTGAGACCATTCTTTAGCGCAGTATGTATAGTATTTATAAGGCCAACCCGATTGCTTCTCGAGCCTCCTAGTAGAGTAAGTACACTACACAATACCTACTTGTACTCCTCTTCCTTGCACAACGTAGTGAGATTGTCCTCATCAGACATTAGTAAGTACTTCTTCCCCGTCAACAACGACATGACAATTCCTACTTCCATCTCGAGTACATGCCATTGTCATTCGCCAATCGTCTTGCATCGCCACTCTCGTCGGTTGCACTCCCTCTAGCTTCTACATCTTTTCTCTATTGCAACTGATCATCTTTCTTTACTCACATAGTGATTCTCTTTCTTCCTGTTTTTTTTTTTAGCTCAACCCGAACCCAATTTCGGATAGAGTTAAAATCCTTGAAGTTTATCGACAAAAAATAATTTAACCTAAATACTTTCGTACGATTTGATATTTAATAAGAAAACAATAAAACATTCCTAGGCAAAGCTTTGTATTAATTGACACACCTTAATTCAACAAGATTCTTATCAAAATCCCATCACAATCAATGAATCTTAAGCCCAAAACGAATAAAGTTCTTCATTTTCCAATCAAATTCTTTGAAGAAACCACTCCACATTCATAGGAAGACATAAACAAAGCATAATCTCAATTGGGTTCCAATCCTTTCGGATATTTTAAGATTAATCAGCTAACTCTCAGCTGGATGGATGTGTTGGAGGAGCGAGTTACTGTAATGGGTGATTTGGTTTGACTTTCTTCAAAAATCGTGCCTTTATTTGGAACATTTGAAGAACAGAAAACCCCCAAAATAACCCATAAAACGGAGATCGAAACAACGCCGGTTGAATTTTCAACAAAACCCTCCACCGCTGCCGCCGCCGCCGCCGCTTCCACCGCCGCTGCCACCGCTGCCACGGACACCGTATGATCTAGATCAAGAAGATCCAAACATACCCCCTTTTTTTAGTAACATTACAAATCTTTAACCCCACTTTTTTGGGGCTGTTTGTCTGTTCTTTCACTTTTTCCTTTCGGATTTATCACGAGTTTTGTTTAATCTATAATACCCTCTTTGTTCTTCGTGTTCTTCGTGTTCTTCGTGTGTTCTTCTCCAAACATGGCTGTTTTTTCCCTTTTTGTCTATTTTCTTGCCCTTTGTTCTTTAGGGTTTGTATCCTCAAAATCCCTTTCCCGATCTTCATTTTGCCCTAAAGAATCTGATTTCTTTCTCTATGGTGTTCGATCTCAATGCCCTTTTTCTGAGATTTCCAGCTCGCCGTTACAGGTATGATTTTAGCTGTTATCTTCTTGGTTTTGTGTTGATTTTCCTGTTCTTTGTCGTGTTTTTTTTTTTTTTTTTCTTGTCGGAATTCCAACTTTTGTGGAGGCTGTTGATGTTTGTGAATCTTTGTTGGGATTCCCCTTTTGTTCTTATGTTTTTAGCTTTGGAAATCTTGGAGATTTGGTGTTTGGTTTTCCATATTGATGAACATGATGAACATGAAGGTGAAGGGAGGTGAAGAAATCTATGCAGATTTGTTCTTTTCTCTTTTGATTGTGAAATTTTCAAGTGTTAACTGAAAATCAAATGGGATGGATTGATCTTGAATTGGTATGATTAGTGTTTTTTTGGCTCAATTTTCGGGTTGACGGGAGAGTCGATCGAAATGACTAGAGATTTTCATTCGAACTTTGAACAGATAAGGGTCAAGTTGGGTTGGATTTTGATTTCAATACAAAGACCTAATTTGATTTGAACGATTCGAGTTTCTCCTTCGAATTATGTAGAAGACGGATTGAGTTGGGTTAGGTTAGGTTAGGTTGTTTCAACAAGTGTCCGAGTTTGCATATTTAAGGTGAATGAATATCAAATTTGGGCCTCCCCGTGCTTGTATTCAATACAAAGACCGAATCTAATTTCAACGATTCGAGTTTCAATTTCGAATTATGTATTTGAAGACGGATTGAATTGGGTTAGGTTAGGTTAGTTTAGGTTGTTTCACTTAGTGTCAGAGTTTGCATATTTAAAGTGAATGGATACCAAATTTGGGGCATCTCCGTGCTCGTACAAAGGATGCACGTACCTCTAATCTCGGTAAGAGGTTCGAATCTCCCACCTGCTTGAACTCGAAAAATCATTTTGCACGTAGTTTCGCTCGTTTTGAAACTATTTCGGGTAGCTTTTGTGTAGATCGAACTAAATGGGCAGTGCTGAGTGAACCCCTTTGCCTCATATTTGTTTCTTCTGATATTGATTTCTTTTTCCCTCTTCTGGTTTATAGGTTGATGGGAATTATATCGATGGGACGTTGACTAATTACGAGACGATCGGCTATACCTCCGTGCTCTTTTATGCTTCGTGGTGCCCGTTTTCTCTCCGTTTTCGACACACATTTGAAGCTCTCAGTTTCATGTTTCCTCAAATCGAACACGTGCTGGTTGAGCAATCTTCTACGCTACCAAAGTAAGTAGTCTGTGACTTTCTTTCTCATTGTAAATTCTGTTCTTGTGCTCTGTTTTTCTGTGCTGAATGCATTCATCTCATTTCGATGAACGATTGTCATAATTGTGCTTGAATCGTTTCCAAGGAAAATTTGATGATAACTGTGAGATCCCACATCGATTGGAGATGAGAACGAGTGCCAGCGAGGATGCTGGGCCCCGAAAGGGGGAATGGATTGTGAGATCCCATATCGGTTGGAGAGGGGAACAAAACATTCTTTATAAGGGTGTAGAAACCTCTCCCTAGCATACACGTTTTGAAAACCTTAAGGGAAGCTCGAAAAGGAACGCCCAAAGAGGACAATATTTGCTAACTGTGAGCTTGGGTCATTACAAATGATATCAAAGCCAGACACTGAGCGGTGTGCCAGCAAAGGACGCTGGGCCCTGAAGGTGGTGGATTGTGAGATCCCACATCAATTGGAGAGAGGAACGAGTGGTAGCGAGGATCCTGGGACTCGAAGGGGGTGGATTGTGAGATCCCATATAGATTGGAGAGGGGAACGAGTGCCAGCGAGGATGCTGGGCCCTGAAGGTGGGTGGATTGTGAGATCCCACATCGGTCGGAGAGGGGAAATATTTTTTATAAGGGTGTGAAAACCTATTTGTAGCATATGCGTTTAAGAACCTTGAGGGGAAGTCCGAAAAGGAAAGCCCAAAGATGACAATATTTGCTAACGGTGAGTTTGGGCCATTACAAATGGTATCAGAACCAGACACTAGGTGGTGTGCCAGCAAGGACGTTGGCCTCGAAGGGGTTCGATTGGAGAGAGGAACGAGTGTCAGTCTTAGCTCTAAAGGAGGGTGGATTGTGAGATCCCACATCTATTGGAGAGAGGGAGCGCGGACACTGAGCCCTGAAGGGGGGGTGGTGGATTGTGAGATCCCACATCGATTAGTGAGGGGAACGAGTGCTAGCGAGGACACTGGGCCTCAGAGAGGATGGATTATGAGATCCCACATTGACTGGAGAGAGGAACGAGTGCCAGCAAAGACGTTGGGCCCCGAAGGGAGGTGGATTGTGGAATCCCACATCGATTGGAGAGAGGAACGAGTGTTAGCAAGGATCCTGGGACCCGAAGGGGGTGGATTGTGAGATCCCACATAGATTGGAGAGGAAACGAGTGCTAGCAAAGACGTTAGGCCCGATTTTTCCGGGTTTTATCACACTATTATCTTCTTGACTCGTTGAAATAACAATATTAAGACACCGGGGTTCAATGTAAAAGTCTCTTGAATTTTTCTTGCCCGACTCCTTGTAACAGCTCATTCGGGTTTCGAGCAATGAATTATAAGTTGGCTTCACATTATCTTTACTTATACATTTACCTTTTCATGTTGTAGTGTACTCTCAAAATATGGAATCCACAGCTTTCCATCTGTATTGCTGGTGAACAGTACATCACGTGTTCGATATCACGGTCCAAAAGATATACTTTCCCTTGTTCGTTTTTATAGCCGAATAACAGGTAAGGTTCTCGTGTTTTCATATATGGTGGGTGTGTGTGCTCTTGCTAAAGCGAGTCGTGTTTGGTTATGTCAGGATTAAAACCGATACCGTACTATAGCGACCGTGATTTAGTTACAATAGAGAGCGTTGGAAAGCCAGTTATCCAACGACAACATATCGAAGACGAACCGTTGTTGATATTCTCTTTCGTATTCATCTGTCTCCGTCTAGCAATCTATAAATTACCACATTTATTGCATCACTTAAACAATCTATGCAGATCTTACATACCCCACCTGAACTTGGAAATATTTGGCGAAACTCGACAACTAATAGGACGCATCCTTCACATGCTCGATATCAGAAGGGCGTGGGCCAAGCTAAGGCTATACAAGACGAAGAACTTCCACAAGGGAGCAAGGAACGCTCGTGTTTGGGCGTCGTCTCTGGCATCTGTCTCGTTGGGTGAATCCTCGTCTTCGAGATCGACATAAGTTCACCCAAAACCTTGTAAAAACAAAAAAAACAAAAAAAAAAACAAAAACGAAACTTTTGATGTTAGAACCGTCTTACTTCCTTGTTAAACACGTATTTTTCTTGCAATTAGAGGTAGTAGAGCGTAGTGGGTAGGCTATTTTGCCTCCTCTTTTGAAGGCATGTACAAATTATCTATTATTATATTGTATGATTACACGTTATACACGATCGAAACATGTCTAAGTTAAAGTTAGCTGCTTCGTTTGTTGAATGACGGGTCGGTTCATAGTCGGATCATAACAATATCGTTGTCGAAATCGGTCTCATCGTTTAGAAAGCTTATGAATGTGACTGAAGATATTTGGTGTATAAGAGGCCAAATGCCAAAAGCTTATTCAAGTAGTGTTCGTATTTTGGGAGCTTTGACTTGTGACCATTGCCATCAAATTGTGGCGATTACGAGCTCATTCGGTAACGTTTTTGTTTCTAATTTTTTTATTCATTAGTTCGTGAAATTTCTGTTTGTTAACATTTTGGTGAATGAATTTTCAAATTCAATAACTTAACACATGAAATTTGGTAGGGTTTTTTTTTCTTGTCCTGATTTGATATAGACCTTTTCCACATGATGCACATAAAATTTAATTTAATTAATTAATTTATTTATTTATTTATTTATTATTATTTTTGTTATAATAAGAAGAGGAGTGATGTGGATTATTAGTGAACGGATTCACGGGAATTACCCAATTATCTCGATTGTGTTATGAAAAGATTTCCTGCAATTATTTCTCGTATAAAACGAGTCAATCCACTGTATAAAATATTTAAATTTTTGAAAAGTGACATCAACCTCTCATCACGGAAATTAGGGGTGTACAATCAAACAATCTAGACTAACCCAACTCAAACTAAGGGACTGGATTAGCATTTCAGGTAGGGTTGAGTTTTTTTTTTTTTAACCCAAAATCTAAAAATGGAAATATGGTTCGAAAATACTAAAAATTATTATTTTCTACAAAGAAAAACCTAAAAATGATTAAGAATGCACTCAAATAATGGAGTAAATTTGGGAATTATTATAATAATGATTATTATTTTAAATGAAAGTATGAACAATTCAAAGGGTGTGTGTAGTGATTTAAAATGTGTTTCCCATTAAATTTAGAAGTTATTCAAATTGACTTTAGTAATATAATATAGGGACAAACAATAGACATTTTTTTATTTGTTTATTTTTTTGTTGCACAAGTAACCCATACAAATAACCATAGTCATAACCATACATTTATTAATAAATTTATAATAATACTCAACAATATAAAATTTATGTGATTATTTTAAAATTCTTTTATATAAAAGAGGAAAAAAATTCATTGTGCTCACGACCGGTTGACTGACTCTAATATCATTTGTAACAGCTCAAGGACGACTGCCTGTATCGTCTAGTAACTGACTCTGATATCACCTATAACAGCTCTAGGACGACTGACTGTATCGTCTAGTAACTGACTCTGATATCACCTATAACAGCTCAAGGACGACTGAATGTATCGTCTAGTAACTGACTTTGATATCACCTATAACAGCTCAAGCACACCCGCATCGTTTAGTAACCGAATCTGATATACCTATAACAGCTCAAGTACACCCGTATCGTTTGGTGACTGACTCTGATATCACTTATAACAGCTTAAACACACTCGTATTGTCTAGTAACTAACTTTGATATCATCCATAACAGCTCAAGCACACCCACATCATCTAGTAACTGACTTTGATATCACCTATAACAGCTCAAGCACACCCACATCATCTAGTAACTGACTTTGATATCACCTATAACAGCTCAAGCACACCCACATCATCTAGTAACTGACTTTGATATCACCTATAACAGCTCAAGCACACCCGTATCGTCCAGCTAAAAAATACTAGTAGATGTTGTCTACTTTAATCCACAATGGAGAGGGAACCCATTACATATCATCGTCATCCTCGTAAAGTAGAGAATCAATCTTGCCTTGCTCTAACCCCAAAGTGAAAAATTACGTGGGGAATAGGTTAAACTAGGAATCAAAGAAGCGCGAAATACCATTTCCAAACTCGGGTTTCAAATTTCAAAAGTTTAAAAACCAAATAAAAAATTCAATACTAAATATAGAGGTAACCTAAAAACGCTATTAAACTATCAAAGGTAGTGTAAAGAGAAGAGAAAAGAATAAAAGAGAGAAAAAAAGAAACCAATCAATAAAGGTAATGTGAATGAGAAGATTCTTAGGCCTTAGCAATGGACAGCTGCATTTACACAACTTCCCTCTTCCTTGTCATAAAAAATTATATTCAATAAAAAAAGTGATTGAAGCTCAAACTTATCTATTTTGCTTATGGTTTCTAGACAATCCCAGCAAGCAACCGACACCCTTTTTTAATTGTTTTGGCTCCATTCCTCTGAGGCTGTGGCTTCTTAGAATCATCACCTCTTCTCAAAATTCACCTGCAATGGTCAACAATTCATCTTTATTCCTCTGAATTGAATGAAAAACATATTCACAAATGAAGAACAGAAGAAGCTAGAATCCAAGAAGGTTTATCATTTGAGTTCTAGGTGGGTCCCTAACTCACCCATCAGCCCTTTTGTCATTACTGTTTGGGAGAAATAAAAAGGATAAGCACTCAAAGCAATATCAAGTTCTTTGCTTTTGGCAGTCCCATGTCCAAGAGCTACAAGACACCGGAGGGTTTGAAATTTTGATTCTTCTCCCGTATAAACTCCCCCTGTTGTGGAAGGAAGAGAAGAAACAAAAAAAATGGATCTCCATGACTGGGAAATCCTCTCCGATGATGGGTTGCTTGATTACAAAGAGGATCGGAAGAAGAAGATCGTCTCGGCTAACAGAACTGCAGCTTCTGATGCCAAAATTGTGTTCGACATGAACTACTTCCTGTGCCCATCAATGGATTCTAAGCATATCACCCAACCGCCAAGGAGTTCTTCAGGGTTCTTGCCTAAACAGCCGATTCCTGTTCATATTCAACTGGACTCCCCAATTATCAAAGTCCCAGATGATTTAACGGCACTGAAAGAAAAAGACAAGGAGCCCATGGTGATCGGTGTTGTACCATCATCCATGAGTGAGAAGGATCAGAAAGGAGGTGCGGAAGCCGCCGATCAAGATCCTGTTACTCAAGTTTTCTTCAAGAAAATGAAGGAAAATGAATTCGTCGACATGAAAATAGACTCACCCAGATCCAGTAACAAGGGAACAAAGCCTCAAATTGATGTTGGGCATTATCAGTTTGATGATGGGGGCGAGGGTACAGAGAACAACATGACTAACTCCCCCAGAATGAATTTGATGAGCCAGAAAAGCAACAAAGACGAGATGAATTGGGATGGATCCAACGGTGGGCTAAACATATTCAAGTGGAGCTTAAATGGGATTGGTGCCATTTGCTCCTTCGGTGTTGCAGCTGCCACCATTTGTATTCTGTTTCATGGAGGCAGCCAACATAAGCTGAGAATCCAGATCTATACCCATGATAAGGTCAGCAATTCAAAACTACAATGAAACTTTTACCTCAAACAGTAATGAATAAGCAAAATTTTCTTAGGAATTCAGTGAAAATGTTAACACATAAACTGCAGAAGAGCTTATTTCATGGCATTTGATTGCAGAAATTAAAGCAGGCAGTTCAGCAGGCTACTAGATTAAATGAAGCGATCACAGCAACAAGAGGTCGTCCACAGATATGGGCTCACATAACCTGTGGTGGCCACTACGATGAGCTCTAAGGAAACCAACAGTTCAGAGTCTTTCTTCAAGGAAGAGCCAAGGCCTCGTTCTATCAATTTATTCAAAGTTTACCGTGTCTGTACATAGAGATAATATCTTTAAGAACAAAAAGTAGTTTAGGAATGCTACTTGGATGAAATTGGATGGTTTACTATACTGTGTCTATGCAAATACTTGAGTGTTCAACTATGAATTTTATGGGATTGTATGGTTTTGTTGTGTCTTCCATTATGATCATTCTGGAGAAGTGGAACAATATTTATTGCTTAGAACACCAATTTAGTCAATATACAGTGATACCTGTAACACGGTTTATAACTTTTGTCCTACTACAATAAATGTGCCTTGAATCTCAATTTACCTTCTAAATTCTCTGTACTCCTTTGCTTCCGGACGATCTCAGCAGGAAACACCTCAATCGTAGGACCAAATTCAAGTATTTAAAGCATCATTAGCTCAATTACAGAGGCCAGAGATCTCTTGAACATAAGAGACCTTACCCTGGGAAAGAAAATTGTGTTATGGCTTAATTAAACTTAGCTACATGTGCAAGAAAGATGGTGCTATTGTTACCCATTTACACATCTTGGTTATGAGTTGTTGAGGGGCAAGAAATCCCTTACAACCAATAATACTGACCCACTGAAGCGAAATGCTAGGCAAAATATTGGAATTGAATTGACAGCCTGACCCACTGAACGATGGAGCAAGTAAAAATCTAAAAGAGAATCATCTCTCTATTCATTTTCAAGATGTGAATAGGGAACAATAATACTAAATACATCAGATCAAATAATTCAAGAAATCTGGAATACAATGGAAGGGAAAGAGATTCATGAATCATGACCCACTTCAGATAGTGAAAGATCCGTGGTGGGTTTTGAACTAGTCACAAAATATCTAACCAAGACTTGACAACTTGACAACATAACAAAGCTCGGCCACTTACATTACTGACGAAACACTAATGTATCAAACAACGCAAAGCATTTACGTAATCAACTCCATATATCACAATCATATACGCAAAGACTATCAAATTCTTAGGGCAAATCCAACTACAGAATACCATTATCACTAATCTACAAAGCTTTATTTAATCACTATTCGGTTTTAAACATCCGCAACAGATAGATTAGATTCACCTAAAAAAAAAAAAAAAGAGCATCCAATTCATATAGCTTAGATTCGCAAAAAGCTAACAGAATTCACATCAAATTCGTTACCAAAAGTGCTAAAACGACGCAGATTCAAAAGATATGGGGGTAGGAAGAAATATGCCCGAAGCTATCTAGGAGAGGAACGAAAGAAAAAGCGTTCGACTCCCTCAAACAGATTCGGAAACGGAATAATATTAATTCCGATCGATTGATGTAAGCCTTTGTCTGAACCAGACGGTGTTGCATAATAATTCGCACCTTCTAGTTATTCGAAGGCTGATTTGAAACGAAAACCATTTCCAATTCCATTTCCATTTTCATTTTCTCCCCCAAATCGAAGAAGCGAAAACCATTAGCAAAATTAGAAGAAAGATCATGCAGAAATAGACGACGAACACAAATTGTGAGAGAAAAACAGAGAAAATTAATTCATTGCTGTGAAATTTTGCAGTGAATCCACGATGTGGGTATGAACGGGGGCGGGAACAATTTAATAGCGACATTTGGTTTAGGGTTTCTAATGTAGGGTCCGATTTGGGCTTTTCGAATCGGGTCTGGATCCTAGATGGGCTGGGCCGGACCTTAGTCTAGAAAGTTCGTAACATATGAAATTACTATATTACCCTTCTATGAAAATTCATCATAATAATTTGGAGTAAAATGGAATGTATATTCCTAAATTTTTGGGTATCAATTTTTATCATAAAATAAAAAAAAAAAAAAAAAATTACAATTTGAACCCTCGGATACGATCGACAATATTGCTAAAGCTCATGTAGGTAAGATGAATGGACTCTCGAGAGCTTGTAGGAGAGTTGGTTTAACAACATAAACTATCGTGGAATATTTTCGACTAGTTATCAACGATATTTTCCATTTGGCTTTTATAGTACCCCGTTACTGGGTAGAATGTCTTTGGCTGTGTGGGTTAAAATACGGAAATGGGTTCCTTACGGTAAAGAACTATTTCCATAAGGAAGGGTCTATAACTTCTATCCAAGCAGATTTAAGCTCTCCGGAACTTCGTGTTAAAAGTAGTGTGCATTCAGGTATGACATATGAATGTAAAAGTTTTCGAACTTTTAAACTTTTGGTCACGGCATGCGTATATTGACATTAATTTAGGCATTAATCAAATTTAATTTTGGATAATTAACCGTAAATATTTTAACGTGAGTAAATTAATAAAATTAAATTAGAGAGTAAAAATTACCGGAACTAAAAAAAATTTAGATTTAATAGAAATTAAAATTTTAGAGTGGAAATTGAGAAGGGTAAAAATTGAAAGTTACCATAGTAATAATGATGGTGATGAATGGGAGTAAAATTTCTCATCCTGAACTCATATGATAAATTAAAGGCTTTTATAAAATGTTATCCATGACTTTTTAAAAAAATATATTATCCTGACTTATTTAGAAAATATTATCCTATGGCTCTAGTGGATGGTATGAAGCTGCTTTATTTTATTTTATTGGTAAAAAAAAAAAAAATTCTTAAATTTTGAAGGTTTGAATAATACTTCTTATAAAAAAAAATAAAAACTATAAATTAATTCAATAAATTTCGAAAGTAAAACTTAAAAAATATCTTAATTTTTAAAATTAAATTTAAGAATATACCGTTATTACCAAGAATACCATTACATTACCACGTTTTAAAAAATATGTATGAACGGTTAGTACCACGTTTCAAAAATATATATAAAGTTTAAAAATATGTATGAACGGTTAGTACCACGTTTCAAAAATATATATAAAGTTTAAAAAATAACATTATAAAGTTGGAATTTTTAAATTTTCTTTAATAGAGACAAAAGGTTAATTGTGCTTTTAAAATTGGTGTAAAAATATATTTTTTAAATTTCTTAAAAGATGGAAGGAAATTAATAAAAAAAAATTTAACTAGACGTATTTTTATTAATTTAGCTTATTATATGTTATAATTATTTTTTTATTATGAAATATATCATAATTGATAAATTATAGAATTGACGTAGACTTTGATTCTTTAAGTTATTTCCATACCTATAATTATATCATATGCTGATTAAGATAGAAATAATTATTAACTGGTAATGCATTTTTTTACATATATAATTTTTAGAATATTTTATCATGATTATGTTGAATATGTATATAATCATATAAATTATACCCATAAAAATGTCCCCATAGATTGTATGATTTATAATTTTTACCCCTACAGTTTTCCAACTTACTATTTAAAAAAAAAAAAAAAATACTGATATATTAGAACCAAAATTAAAAGATTCCATTAAATATATATTTATATATAATATATTAATAAAATTGTCAAGTACTTATTAAACACAAAATTAAAAGTTTAAAAACCAAGGCGTTTTTGAAAATTTAGGATCTATTAGAAACTTGTGAAAGTTTATGAACAAATTAAACATTAATCTCAAAATTAAAATACTAAACTTAAATTAAAGTTTAGAGACCTAAAGTGTTTCGATCGGAAAGCTCGGGTAGGAGTAGGACATTCCATCAAAATCTTTCCTCCCGTGGTTCTCTTTATTCTTGAACGAGGTAAAGCATATTCAGTAGCTCTTTGATTGAATTTGATTATGAATGAACCGCCGGGAGCTCGTATGAGAGTTGGTTTAACTGCCCTAACTATGGCGGAATATTTCCGAGATGTTAATGAACAAGACGTGCTTCTATTTATCGACAATATCTTCCGTTTCGTTCAAGCGGGATCCGAAGTATCCGCGTTACTGGGTAGAATGCC